TTTAATTACTGTCATTATTATACGTTAATTAATCATAATTAAAATTTATCCAAACAAAGTCTTAGTGTAATTTATTCTTCAAACAAGAGATTAATGTAATTGAAGCAAATATAATTTAAAAAAAAATTAATTATTATTTTATGTTTATTTTTAATATTTGTAATTTTAGTTTGCATGTCTTACATAAATTAATTTAATTATTACTGTTAAATTTATTAAAAGTTAATATTCAGTTATTATAATATAAAAAATTATAAAACTAAAATAATTTTATAAATTTAAAGATTAAATTTGTAAATTAAATTATAATATATTTAACAATTTTTCAAGAATTAAATGGTAATTTATTTTTCTAATTCAAACCCTATTATTATTATTATTATTATTATTATTATCGGATTTCATTTGGGAATCTTAAAAAAATATAAATCCGTTGGAAGAAGAAAAGAAATACGTCGTTGTATCGGCGATCGATGATCCCGTGTGTCTCTGGGCTCAAAACGCAGCGTTTAGTGCTCCGATCACCGCGTTGAGTGAGTAGAGAAGAATGAACGACGAGAAAGGGGAGGAAGAAGATGAGAGAAGGGAAGTAGCGATAGCATCACTACCATCATTGACGCCCAATCTCAAGCCTGCAGGTGTTACCCATGACCAGCTCTCCAAATTCCGAGTAAGTTTTACTTTCCCCTCACTACCATGTTCTGGAATTAACAGACTCTGATTAATTTAGGGTTACAAAAGCTTCAAATTTTCCTCGAATTTGTCAACTGGGTTGGTGCTGAATAGAATTTATTTTCTCTTTTCTTCTCTATGAGAATTTGATGTGTCGTTAATAAGAATCTTTTTCCAAGATAACCCCATGCATAAGGTTTAGGATCCAAAAGAATTTGATGTCTAGGGCACATGTACTGTGGTAATGGCGGGTTTTTTAAGTAGTCTGGTTTTGGAGATTGAAGGATCAAGTTCTGATATATGGCTGCTATGGAGTTGCGGTTCTCTTGTTGCCTAATTTGATTAAATGTGTGTGATTTACCAGATAATAGGAGAAATCTGTGATGTTGCTTCGCCGGAAGAGATTTCAGTATAGTCTGTCTTATTGAATTTTTATTTTAGCTTACTCTTGTCGGTTCTTCCTTGTATGACCAACTTGGGGAGTAATTTTGGAATTGTGTTTCAAACCACACTCTTATTCTACGTTTGGAATGAATCAAACTTTCTTAGAACATTTTTTTGAAAATTCTTTCTTAGCTTAGTTAGGTGATAGTGAAAATTTAATATACAAAAAATTGAATTTTATGGAATTCGAAGTGGGATTAGATCAATAAATTCCATCTTCTAATAGAACTTTCATTCCCTCCTAGATGAACCGAGTAGAAATTACCGAATGAATTCCACCAAAATTCTTGATTTGGTCCAATACAGCCGTAATTTGTAGTAGAAAACTTTGCTTTAGTTCTTGGTCCCTGAATTTGGTCCAAACACACCCTTAACTTGTAATCGAAAACATTGCTTTGATTCTTGTTCCCTCCTTATAATCTCCATAACTCTTGTATGCAATAGGAACTGCACAGGAGACGTTTACAAATAAAATCGAAATCAAAGATTCACAAGAAAACAAAAGGTATTCCTTCGTGGCTTGTCTGGGATCGTGTTACTGCCAAATATCTGATGTTTGTATAATGGCTCTAAAATTTTGTGGAAATTGCAGATAGGACCAGCCAGTGCCACGGCAAGGACCTTATAACTGAAAAAATTGAAGACAACAATTCGAGTATAGAAACTGAATACTCGTGTGGTCCCGGCTTGAGAAACAACAGCGCTAATGACTGTTGCTCGATAACAATGAACAATAAAGCACCGCCTCTTGCATCAAAGAAGCCTCAGAAGTTACACTGGGGGTATGGTTCAGCTTGGCTACTAGTTATTCCGTTCTTCGCCCATTAACGACAAGAACTTTATTTAATGTATTCTTGTTGGGCTTAGATATTGATCGGTGATCGACAGGATATTTATATGTACATAGATGAAGCATACATACATGAGAATCAACCACTTTTATCTGCTTCAAGGTCTCTTTACCTTTGTTCATAACTTTAGAACTGGTTCATACATAAATATTCTCGGTTTTTTGGATGTTAACACAGACTTCTCCTTTACTCAATCTTGGATTCCATCTTTTAACATCTGTCACAACATATTTTTTGGTTTTCTGTTCAAACATTGATATTGAAGTTGTACGGTCAAACTGTAATTTTGATCGATTCTGTAATAATGGTGTTTGGTGATTTTTGTTTCCAGACTTGATACCAAGGAAAGGTGGGAGAGGAAAGCTAACATGTAGACATCACCATGAAGTGAAATTGCAGGATGCCGAATCACAAAAAGCTGAAGTTTGTCTCTGAGGTGCGTGAGAGTTAGAACTAAAGATGCTTTTAGCTTCGGTGATTATACCAAACTGTCTTCGCATGGAGAAGGAAAATCCACCCTGCAGCTTGTAGTAAATCCTGTAGAAAATGCATTTACACTTTCAGATCCAACATGGAAGTTGTATAATCCTTCGTCTAGAGTGAATGAATATTGAAAATGTTGAAAGGAAATCGAAGAGCACGACATTGCATTTGGTTTAAATATATTTATTTATTAATGTAAGTTGATTGATGCGTAAAATTTAGTTTTAATCTATATATTTGATATTTAATTGAATTAATTTCATTTGTATTTTTAATTTTATAATAATATATTTATATGTTCACTTACTAATAAAAAATAAAATGAAAATTTTAAATTATAATATTATTTTTATTCACATAAATTCTTTGAATTTAAATTCAACTTAAAGAATAAACTATCCGATTCTTATTTACAAATTTTATAACTAAATATATTTTTTGTGCTTTTTTAAAAAAATTAAAATAAAAAAATGTATTAAATATAGACATCAAGAAATACCTTTCGTGTACAAAAGATTTTTAAATCGGTAAGAGTACTTACAATAGAAGCAAAATCAACAATGCTATTAAGGTTGTGCCAAAGAACAATGCATGTTTTTGTGCTATGAACTAAATTAAACCAATTTTCAAAAGTTCGTCAGCGAAATCTCACCATCTCCAATTCATATCCTGTTTTGGGTTATTTTATTTATCAATTTGCAAATTGGAGTACCAAAATCTTGCTATTATGTTACTCTGTTCCGAATATCCTAATTGGTAATGCCTCCAAGAGCATTTCACCAGTGTACTTACAATTGATATTAAACATCAGCGGAAACGACAGATAAAACAAGGGGCAATGAACAAGGAAAACCGCAATTTAACTCTTTTTATCATGAGGATGAAACCTGCTGCAAGCAGGCATCAACCAGCCCAAGCTCAGTCCACGAGATGCAGCGAGATTAATTCCATATGCACTTCTGACATCCAAAATCAGGTTGCTGGGTTAAGAGCAAGTTCTATTTCCTCGAGTGATCGTCCCTTAGTTTCAACAACATTCCCAGCTATGTACAAGACAGCAAGGAGACAGATGGTTGAGAATCCCAAGTACACCGAGCTGATTCCAAACTTGTTTACCACGCTCAAGAAATACAGGCCAATGACAAAGTTCGAGATCTGTTAATCAGAGAATTATATCCATCATAAAGAGAAGACAGAAATATATTGAAGAACACAATACTAGCATTTATAGTTGCTCTACCAGTCTAAATCCACTAAGATTCTTTCTATCCTTCTCATTTTCTTTCTCTTCCATGTCAATGTGGTGAATAGTGTTTCTCAAAAGAAGCACACGACATGCATTCAAATGTAGTGTCCATTAAGTAAATGGTTCAAGATCCATGTACATAATATGCACAGATCCTCTTATAGACACGTATTTAACAATAGAATATGGGAAAGGGCAAGATGGTTCTCTTTCTAAGATATCCAAGTCAACAGGTTAAATGTGCATTGATTCTGAAATCCTCTCTTCTGCACAAGGTAACCATAGAACATGAATGCAGTCATTCCAGGAACAATTGAATTCCTCAAGATAAATGGAGGTACTGTTGTGCCAAATAAGAAGATATTATTTTAAAATAAATTTTCAATTGAAAGAAGCTTCTTGTAATAATTATCATTTTTGTACTTTAATTTACTTATGTTATTTAACTTGAGCTAGACATCATAATATTTTAATTGTCTATTTATGTAAATTTCAAGTATTACAGGAATTCAAATATTTTAGATTCTCTTTTATAATTATCTTTCATTAGTTGTAATCAATTTTTTTAACTTGTTCATTTCTGGTAATTAATGCCTAAATAAAGGCTGGTAATTACCAGCAAAAGAATATATAATGATAATTAAGGATTCTTTTGTCCTTCCCAGGGTTTTATTCCATATTATTTCTCTGTATTATCTTGTCTAACTAATCCCTCCGAGTCTACTTTCCTATATTACTCCACCTTGATCTACAATTTCCTCTTATCTATCTCCATTATTTTGTTTCTCATCTAAATATTTTAAATTTCTAAACTGTCCCTAGTACAAATTAGCACTAATGCACCTTGCTGTGCAGCATATTATCTATCGTTAACACCAAAAAAAAAAGCAGCATATTATCTATTGCTAGGTCTCTAAAGGTGGGAAAGGAGAGAACATTGCATCTTTTTATGACTAACCCAATGCATCCCCAAGGATAAGGCAACTGCTTTTGCTCTGATCCTGGATGCAAATATCTCTGGCAGCAGGAGAGCAGGAACAGGACCGGCACCAAGTGAAAAGGACAAAACATAGCTGCATAAATCAAAGCCTCATTTAGATTTCAGTAAATAAAAAATTGGTAAAGATGAGACTAATGAAGTTCAGGTAATCTTCAAAACCAGCTTTGATACAATAAATGAGAAATTGCAAACCTACCATTTATGTCCTTGCATAACAAATTTAATGTCAGTAGTCAAATTTTTAATGAACTACACTCTCCACCAAATTTTCCATTAAATGCGGCAATGTCAAAAACTGTCTTTAAAAAAGACTATTATGGACCACCTTGCATCAAATTTTCAATTCTTACCTAGGCATCTAAAGCCATTCCCCTGCCCAGATTAACCCACAATGTCATCCTCTCTATTTAGTATTTCTTTAACCAACTAGTCACTTTCAAGATTCACAAAAGATTAAGCATGAACATGTAAAATAGTAATACATTACAAGGGCCAAAGTTATCATTTTCTGTAGTTGGCATCACATAGTTTTGCAAAAACAAAAAAAAAGATGTTGGAAATAGTTGGACAAGGTGGACTTGAATTAATAAGAAATATTGTCCACTAGAAAAATCTAATAAAGAATTTGAGAACATAAACTTTCGAAGTGCTAAACTGCACACAATGCAAGAAGTGCCAACGCCATATATTACAAATATACATGCACACATCATGGATGCATGTGCGTTACCCTCCACATGTACACACACAATTCATTAATATT